ATGGTCTGAATGCACCGATCAAAAAACAAAGAGTCACTGAATGGATAAAAAAACAAGACCCATCTATAAGCTGCATAAAAGAGACTCACTTCAAACCCCAAGACATACACAGACTAAAAGTGAAGGGATGGAAAAAAATATTTCAGGCAACCAATAGGGAGAAAAAAGTAGGGGTTGCAGTACTTGTCTCAGACAAAATAGACTTCAAAACAAAGAAAGTCACAAGAGACAAAGAAGGACATTATATAATGATAAAACGGTCAATCCAACAAGAGGATATGACCATTATAAATATCTATGCACCCAACACAGGAGCACCTACATATGTGAAACAAATACTAACAAAATTAAAAGGGGAAATAGAATGCAATGCATTCATTCTAGGAGACTTCAACACTCCACTCATTACAAAGGACAGATCAACCAGACAGAAAACAAGGAGACAGAGGCACTGAACAACACATTGGAACAGATGGACCTAAGAGACATCTACAGAACTCTTCACCCAAAAGCAGCAGCATACACATTCTTCTCAAGGGCACATGGGACATTTTCAAGAATAGATAATAAAAGAGCCTTGGTAAATTAAAAAAGATTGAAATTGCACCAACTAGCTTCTCAGACCACAAACGAATGAAACTAGAAATAAATTACACAAGGAAAACAAAAAACCCTGCAAACCATGGAGGCTTCACAACATGCTCCTAAATAACCAATGGATCAATGACCAAATAAAAACAGAGATCAAGCAATATATGGACACAAATGGCAACAATAATTCAACACCGCAAAACCTGTGGTGCAGCAAGGCCATGCTAAGAGCGAAATATATTGCAATACAGGCCTACCTCAGGAAAGAAGAACAATCCCATATTAACAGTCTAAATTCACAATTAATGAATCTAGAAAAAGAAGAACAAATGAGGCCCAAAGTCAGCACAAGGAGGGACATAATAAAGATTAGAGCAGAAATACATAAAATCGAGAAGAATAAAAAAATAGAAAGAATCAGTGAAAGCAAGAGCGGGATCTTCAAGAAAATAAACAAAATAGATAAACCCCTAACCAGACTTATCAAGAAAAAAAAGAGTCTACACATATGTACAGAATCAGAAATGAGAACAGAAAAACCACTACTGACACCACAGAAATATAAAGAATTATGGGAGAAAACTATGAAAAATTATATGCTAGCAAACTGGATAACTTAGAAGAAATGGACAACTTTCTAGAAAAACACAGCCTTCCAAGACTGACCCATAAAGAAACAGAAAATCTGAAAAGACCAATTACCAGCAACGAAGTTGAGTTGGTAATCAAAAAATTACCTAAGAACAAAACTACTGGACCAGATG